CTATAGACAAAGGAGATAAAGGATAAAGGTGCGATCCTATCGGTAATGATGAAATGGAGAGAAATGGATGGTTCCCACAGACGAAGGGAGAAAGTGATGTACTCATAATTATAGGGTCTCTTGTGGGTTGCTTTTGCCTATTACTTACAGTATTGCATTTTTCCATCAATGTAAGGATTACATTTTGCAATGAGGAACCACTATTTCTTGCCCATTTTAGAAACAGCATACATGTCATTGGTTTCCCTATGCAGATATGTGCTTTTATAGGAGAGCCAGAGATAGTGGTTCCTTTTTGCAAAATGTGATCCATATAGGGTCGCTCCATTTTCTCTTTGTCCTCTTTGTCCATCGCTTTCTCTATCAATTTTAATAATCAACCTGCTGCAGTGCTACTGAAAAAACACTTTATTAACATTGGACGTTGCCGAATTTCCCTACATTAACTATTTATTATTCAGAAATATCATGAACATTTTTGTTTGAAATTTTCAGACCCTTTAGATGAAAGTATTTGCAGAGGAAATTCGCTGGAAAATTTGAAGAAAAATATCCTCAATTCTCGCTGAAACTTGGTATCTTATCAAAGGGAATTTGGCAACGCTTAAGGGTTCATACGGCGTTCTTCCTTATACCACTGCAGTGTTGATAACCAAAAATTGTCCGTACCGTTAATCAATACACCAATGACTGTTGTGGGGAAAAATGGGAAATATTTTTAAAGGTTTCCAATGTGACTAATTATAAGTGCCAGTAAATATAAGTTTCAGCGCTGAGTCGCACGCATCTGACTTTATACCAGCAGAGAAACCCGCTTTCTTACATGAAATGTCAGTGTTCTTGTGCTCAGGCTGTCGCCTTGACTAAGCAGGCAATTATCTACTCACCCTAGCTGCGATTTAATTAACACTGATCTAATTTCACATACTCTATAAGTCATTGTCCCTCCTCCCTTCTCCCTGGCCGTCACAAGGAATCTTCGCCGGAGATCAACCACGGGTGGGAGATTGTGCAAAATAGTAGAACACAAGTAGGAGAATTGGGCAAATAGGAGACATGTTTTTCGGACTAAATTTTGCAATAAGGCACCACTATTTTTAATTCATATACAAAATATCTATCTTCATCGGGAAATTTATGACACATCTGCTGTCTCCGTGATTAATTAGAAATTGTAGTTCCCTATTTCAAGATTTAGTCCAATTTTCACTCGGCAACGCCGATTCAATCGAGTTTCAGGCGCCTTGATACAACTATTCGTACTTAATGAATGTCCATGTTGCGTAGCCAAAAATTGAAGGCGCTTTCGCTTTCTTCATGACAACAGCTTATAGGAACGATGAAACTACGCAACAGTGGGATGTGAAAGCGCAATTTCCATTTGGACTGCGTTTAGTAGAAAGGAACCAAGACACATCAACTATTGCCAAATTTAATTTGGCAATCTAATTCTTTACATGAAAACAGATGTGCGGATTCGTGAGCAAATTTCAGTGAATTTTCTGCATAGTACGAAGCAAATTCCTTAAAATATTCAAGGGATTCCGCACTAACGTTCTCTTCTAAAAAATTAAATTGCCCAGTTAAATTTGGCTATAGCTGATGTGGCTTGGCTCCTTTCTGCTAAACGCGGTCCAATTACTGCGTTAGTATGTGCCAGCAAAGCGATATGCGATGCGTATGGCACCATAAATAACTTCCACGGGTGGTGAAAGCATATTACTAACTTGTTCAAATGCGTTGCTTTATTTCTACGTGAATGAAAAAAAAAATGTGCACGCGTTGCCTCTAATTCCCTCAATGTTTAAAAAAACTTTGGGATAAGTATATATTCTTAAATGTCACATCTCTCATACTAATGCATAATTTTGCATAGTTTTAGGGTTTTAATTTTTCTTCAAATATCACAATCCTCTCGTCTCTCCTGTTCTAAAACAGTGGCATAAGCAGTTAAAAATGTGTCATAGAGAGGTTTTAATTTAAAATTTTCCCGATGATCACACAATGATACAGTTTTTTAAGATCATTTTCCGGACAATAGAGGGGGCAGACCCACAAGACCTCCTCTCCCCCGGGCTGCGAAAAAGTGTGCGTTTTGCGGTTGGAATGTAATGCTGTAATGGTTTTAAGGGATGAATGTCAATCTAAAAAAAAAGAGAATTCATGTAGAGCTCTTTAACAGAAATTTTGATGATTGGTTGCATCGATATTTCAGCCGTTTTTTATCCAATTATCAATCTAAAATATATCACTCTATTTCCATGATTTCAACAGGTCTCATCTGAATGCAAACAGGTCACATAAAAACAAGCTCAGCCTCCCGACACTCGAGAGTAATATAGTGAACTTAAGTTCAAATTTACTCAAATTGCTTTTTGTTTCCTTTCGTCGTTTTTTGATATTTTTGTCTTGTTACGCTGCTTTCGCCGTGCTCAAAAGATGGCGGGAACTGTTTCTTCGTCGTAGAGATAACGAAGTTGCAGCATACGGAAAAGTTTAAATCAGTTTACGATGCAATTTGTATATGAATAAGCAGGTGACGCCTTTGCTTTGAAGTTTATTGTTTCGCTGAATGATTACCCTCCCCTTTTTGCCACTCCTCTCAACCCATTTAAAATTAGTTTTAATGCTTCAAATAGGTAAAGTCTCTCTGTCTGGCATATTTCCTAGGAATAGTCGCTCAGATTCAATATTTCATCCTGATTTCTAAGCGAATATTTTCTTTCGAAATCAATTTCCAGTTTCACTGATGATAATAATAATTTGCTTAAAGTATTAATCTTTTTAAAGAAAGTCGTCGTTCCGTTTTATCAAATGACTGTTCTTTTAAAACGAAATGCGACTTGGTTTGTTTCTGTCAAAATTGGTCCAAATGATAACTCAATTTTTTTAGGGTGAGAGACTTCGTTTAGTTTGGAATTTTATTGGAAATTTTCACTAAAATGTTGGAAATTCACCCTCTCGGTGGTGAAATTAGTGCCTCAATTTTGCATTTTCTGGTACAAATTGGTGTATTTTTGAGGAGCGAAAAGTAATTTAGTCCACATTTGTTGACCATGAACAAAACACGGAAAAATTTTTCTCAGAACATGGGTCAGCAAAATCAGAATAGGTGAGAAAGTCTCACGATTGACCGGAGGCAATATATTCCAGAAACCCCGCACTTATATAATTCTGTGCTAAAGAAAAACGCACTAAGAACCTTCATGCGTTGCCAAATTTCTTTTAATAAAACACAAACTTCCTGCTAAACTTCTGAACATTTTTCTGCTAATTTTTCAGATAATTTTGCTCGCAATTTCAACCAATGTTCTTGATAATTTCAAGGAAAAATATTCATAACTTCCCCCAATAACGAACATTTTATCGAAGGAAATTTGGCAACTCTCGAATGTTCATACGGCGTTCTTCCTCAGCACGGCAGTTTAGGAAAGCCGTATTCGCCAAAGCTACCCCAACTTTCATCAATCATCATTTGGCGAATTTTATTTTATTTTCGCTAAGTTGATCATCAGGGTCATTAAAATGCAATTTCCCTACAATCAGTACTCAATTTTTTATGAATGTAATCCCTGCAGAAAAAATAAATAAAATTGAATCAGTCAGTGGCATTGAGCTGTCAGATTTTTCAAGATTCGAGTCGAATAAGTTTTCCCATCCAGTGCTCCCAAACCGCAAAGAAAGAGGGTTTCGCAACCTCCTTCGCCCTCCTATTTTTCAAAAGTTACGGCAAATTAGAGGGACCAAATCGCCGCCGAAGGGTGCAACTGAACATTAAGATGAACCTTTTCGTCCGTATCACTGGATGCTTTCCAAGGCTCACGTCAAAATTTAGTTCAGAGGCGTGGCGTGAATTGCGATGTTTCGATTGTCATGCCATTTAAACCTATGGTAAAGAATCGATTATTAAGAAGTTCGCTGCGAATACCGTGTTTATCGATCTTTTTTATAAATGGCAGAACAATCGATACATCGCAATTCACGCCACGCCACAGATTGAGTTACGCCCTCTGGTCAGCGGAGCGACGGAATGAGACTTAAATACAGCACTTCCCGCGGAAAGGTAGTTCAGCGGAGCGTGAATGAACTTTTAAAGGGATTTTCAACTTTTCGGAGGAATTCAAAACGCTCATGATGTTCTGCGAGTGTGAGGGTGGCAAGGTTGAGGTGATCGTCCTGGCACGATCCCATTCGATCGTTATTAATTATTCAATCGCTCTTGTGCGTGAGGAAGCTATACGTCTTTTTAATGTGAGGTTACAGTTCACATATCGACTCGGAATCAATAGTCGCTGCAATGAAAATCTCAAATGCCCTCATAGGTCTTTGCCAGCGTTACATGACGTTACAGGTGATGATAGGAGGGAGGGGGTACAAGGCGAAGCGTCACGTTTCGAATTAAGTGACTTTTTTTCGAGTTTTCGCAGAATTTTTCGTTGGAAGTTTGAAAGAATCTCGAGAATATTCTGTCCAATATTTTCACTTTTCCTCACTAAATAGAAACGCTTATCCGTCCAGTAAATTTAAGGTGATGCATAGATAATTTTTTATCAACATGGGTAAGGCAAACGTCACATAATTTTCGG